GATGGCGGAGCGCTAACATCCCTTGGGCCTCAGGCTCCCATCCTGTCTCGCCTCGCCCTGCGGCTGGTGGCGGGACTTCCCTTCCGTCCAGGCCCCGCCCTTGGCTAGCCGGAAGGTGGTGCTGCTCCTGCGCAGTGCTGGAGTTGTCTTTGGACCAATCACAGCCCAGTAAAACTGAGGAGGGCCGTGCCCGCGCGCCCTCCACTGGCCCTCTTGGCGTTGCGGAGGACCACGTGGAAAGCGGACTCCGAGGTCTCAGGCCCAGTGGCCCGCAGGCTCTCCGTGTGCGGTGGTTCTGGTATTTCGGCATCTCAGGGTCTGGGCGAGACCCTGCTTCACTTCCTGCTCGCTGTGCACTGACTTCTTCGTTCACCCAACGGATTACAATACCTCCTCCAAACCTGGCCCTTGTGGAGTACAAAGTATGTCTGTTTTGGGGTGTGGGCCTGTCCCGTCAGTCCTCAGGTCGCCTTTGCGGTGGCAGGCCTGTCTGGAAAGCTCTTGGACCAGGATCCTTCTCTTTGGTACTGGCAACTGGTGCACTGCCCCTCCTCACTGGTTCCCTCCATAGTGTGATGTGCCAGGGGCTTCGGGCCTCTAGGCTGACCTGTACCATGCTTGGCAAATGATGGGGCCTGTTTCACTGTTTCCCAGTGTCTACTTTCCCTTTGCTAGAAGATACCCCAGGGCTCCCTTTAGTGCTCTACAGTTGTCAACTCCAGGACTTCAGATTCTGTGGGGGCAGCCGGGTGACAATAGTTTTCCTCTATGGGCCCCAAGTATTCCTTGACTCCATTGGCAAGTCCCTTCACCAACTCTAAGATCCCAGCTTGGCTCTCCAGCGGATGACAGGGTTGGGAGAGGTAGCCTGATGTAAATTTTAGGAAAGTGATTGAGAGCTGGGAGACAGGAGGTGCCGTGAGGTTTTCAACCAACTTCAAAATTTTCCTCGGCCTGAGTTTTTCCACCTATAAAATGTAGATGGTATATAAATTGTAGAGATTGTGAATAGGCTCTGTAAACTGAAGCAGCAGGCACACTGTTCTGTGCAGTGTTGGTGTCTGGAGGCCGGTGCAGATGAGATAATGAAAAGAGGCTGGATTCGAAGAAAAATTGTCACCCTTCAGTAAAACTTGCATTTCATTTGTAAGTGTTTGTGAAATAAATTAGTTAATTTTCTGTTGCAGGAGACATCAACAAATAAGCAAATGACAACAAAACTTGCATTTCATTGCCCAGGGATTCCTGAAGGAAGAGTTTTTACTAGAATAACCCCAGCCAAAACCACTTATTTATTCTTTCTAGAAGTGGAACTAAGTTTTTTCACCAGGGAGCATATTTTACCAATTTGTATTAGAAAAAAAAAATCACACCCTACATTATAAAGAAGCCAGAGTTTCCTTCTGTCCCTCTCCCATTCTCTCTTTGCCCACCCCCTTCTCAGGATGATTTTTTTTTGATTGTATGGTAGAGCTTATTTCTATTTTCCTTGTGGCTTAGTTTTTAAAATGTCACACTGTGCGAGGATTGGCTTCAGAAAGTGCCAGTTGGTGTTTCAAGTATGGCTATTCCCATCCAACCCCACCACCAGCTACCTAAAGGAGGACTGGGGTGGGTCGGGTGGCAGGGTTGCTGTGTGAGTCAATAAAGAAAATGGAGGGATACTGCCAAACTCAACTTTGGGTGTACACTTTATCTGTCACTGGGTTTATAATACAGAGGTTTAAGACAATAAGTACAATGGACAAAACATGGGACTGAGAGTTGGGAACTATAAATTCTCGAATCCTGTCACAAATCCAGTGAGTCTGGGGCAAGTCCCCACCCATATTTAGCTCTGTTTTCTCAACTGAACTGAAAGGGCCAGACTGGGGCTTTTGCTATTTAAGAATCATTTTCTGATTCTTAGGGAATAAAGGAGGTGCCCCTTAGGGTTGCCTCCATCATGACCACGCCCCCAACATGCCATTTCATTCCCATGGCGACGGCTGTTTGGGCTTCACTGACCTCCAGTTCTTTAGCAGCTGCTGCAGGTAGGAGGTTGCAGGACTTAGTTTAGGGGCCAGAGTGCTAATTTCTTTTTTTCTCTTACAGATTGAATTTATTCTAAAAGTTCTACCTTCACCTCAGTGAGCTCACAGTAAATGCTGGAGGAGTGTGAAGTCAGCAACAAAAAGAGGTATGACATCTTTAGTTTGCTAAAAACCTTCAAACACTAATATGTAAATGAGATTATGCATTTTGTCCCACATCAGATCTCTTTTATGAATGATTATTGTCTAAGTTATTACACAAATGCCACGCAGGCTGCTGATGTGAGACTGTAAAAGTGCTGGTCTGGAGGCAGGATTTGAGCTTGGCCCCACTAGATAAATGTGTGTTCTGATAACTCCCATCCCTCTCTGGAACACAGTTTCGTCATTTGTACAAGAAGGAGTTTAGACTAATGGTATGGGTTGAATTGTTTCTCTCTTGCTCCTAGCCCAAATCCTATGTTGAACTCCTAACCCCCAGTAACTCAGAATGGGACCTTATTTAGTAATTGGGTTGTAGGTGTGATTAGTTGAGTCATACTGGAGTATGGTAGGCCCCTAATCTAATATGATTGGCATCTTGATAAAAAGAAGATATTTGGATACAGATACAGACACAGGGAGAATGCCATGTAAAGAGGAATGCAGAGATCCAAGGGATGCTTCTACAAATAAAGGATCACAAAAGATTGCCCACAAACTACCAGAAACTAGGTGAGAGGCACATAACAAATTCTCCCGGACCATCCTTAGAAGAAACCAACTTTGCCGACCCCTCAAATGCAGACTTTTAGCCTCCAGAACTATGTGACAATAAATTTCTGTTCTTTAACCATTCTGATAGAGTAAGTTAGACATGAGCTGGAGACAAAGGTGGTGAAAGACACAAGACAAATTACAAGCCTGATGGCACAACATCCTGACTTTATGACTTTTAACATCCTGGTCTTAAGTCTTCTAATACCCTTGGGCTGACAGAACAAGAGCCACAGGTATAGAACTTGCACTCTTCTCTCCAACCTCGACCCCCAGGGTAACCTATAGTTTTACACTGTGGTTTCAATCCCCACCCCTGTGGAGGAAAATGGCCATGACAGTTCCAGCAAGAACCTTGTAGGGCCAGAAGACTCCCCCTCACAACTGGTAGGAGGAGTTACTGAGTTGTTACAAAACAACTTCAGTTGGAGACGCCCCCCTAGTTATGACCTATAACCTATGCAAACATAAAAAGAAGAGACCCCCTAGCTCCAGTGCAGTTGCCACTTCTGGGCCCAACCGCCCTCCAAACTTGAGAATGCACTGTCCTTAAAAAACTGCTTTGTGCTAGGTACTTTCCTTCTGGGTATCTTTATTTGTGCACGGATCCTTTGTGGGGGATCCAAGAGACCTCCATGCACACAGTGCAGACTCTCTCCCACCAGTAACAATTCAGTTTGCAGTTCATTGTTAAGGTAGCCCCAGCAAGCTAATACTACTATATCAGTGGCTTGCAGTCTTTTTGCTACCAAGAACCCTTTTGCTCTTTGATCTCCTGTGGACCCCTTTCATTCATTTAACAAATATTTATTGAGCACCTACTATATGCCAGGCCCTTAATGTAGGCATTGGAGATACACAACGTTCCCTCCTCTTGAGCTCATTCTGTATGTTTTAAAAGATTTACTCGGCGAAGTATATTACAGCTTAGTTTAGTAATAATTTGTATATTTTCTCACGAGATAACCAGGATTACCTCATCAATGTGATATAATTAGTGCCCAAAATCAAAGAAAGGTCATATTCCAAGTAGTTGTTGATCTCTTATGGCAAGTAAATACGTGGAATTTTTTAGGGTTTTTCTTTTTAACATATTGAAAATTATTCTCAGAAACTCCAAGTATGGATCCCTAGGGGTACAAGAACTTCAGTATAGGGTGATTAGCTAGAGCAGGGGTGGCAATTTTTTCCTGTGAAGGGCCAGATATTAATGGACTATACAGTCTCTGTCACAAGTACATAATATTGCCATTGTAGTTTGAAAGCAGCTATAGATGATACAAACTGAGTATGGTGGAATTCCAATAAAATTGTATTTATGGACACTGAAATTTGAATTTCATACCATTTTCATGTGTGGCAAAATATTAACTCTTCTTTTGATTTTTTTCAACCATTGAAAAAGGAAAACCCTTTCTTAATTCACGAGCTGTAGGAAAAGTTTGCAGGCAGGCTGTATGTATTCACCCAGCTGGCCACAGTTTGCCAACTCCACAGTTAAATTTTAATTTTGCGCTAGTTCTGGAATTAGATGATTCTTATCCCCCTAAGGTTCTAGATGAGGGCCGGAGAGGAGATCAGTTTGAACTTAAACCCAGGCTTCTTGCAGCCCAGCCCACAGTGCTTATCGCTGTTTTAAGCTGCCCTGTTTAGTTATGATTTCACATGCGGTCTTTGTATCCATGTGGTGCAGAAAATAGATGTGTGGCCAGCGGCCCTTTCCAGGCGTTGACCATGTAAGGGTTGTCCTCTTACTAGCTGCCAGTGGCAACCCTATTTTGTCAAGCCTGACCCTATGCTTACCTCACTGTTTTCGTTTATACCTCTCTCGGGTTGCGCGGGCCCGGGAGGCCCATCTGTCCCTTACTATTTAGTCCCTGTTGTCTCATTGGCAGCTTTCTGAGCAGCTGCAAAATGTTTTTAACTTGAAGTGGAAGTTGGGGTCACTGGCATCGTCAGGCCCGGAGTCACTCTCAGCAAGGGCTCTTTCAGCTCTGACATCGACTAGCTTACGGACTCCGGTGAGTGTTAAACTAACTCCTCCCACTTTCCCATGGCTGGACTTTCAGTGTTGGTAATAATTATGAGGCGTTTCTCAAGGGCTGGGAAATAATGTGCACTTCTTTTTTGTGTCGTCTTCAGAAATTGCTTGGTTGCCTAGGACCACAGTCTTCTGCCTGGTCGTCCCTCTTTCCGGCTCATCTGCTCCGGTAGCCTCGACACCGCAGCTTGGCGACGCGGTTCCGGAGGGGGACCAGAGGTGCTCCCGCGCGCTCAGGGGGCGGCGGCACCGCCGTCCACCTCGGAGGATCATGCTGCGAGGCAAGTCCCGGCTCAACGTGGGGTGGCTCGGCTACTCGCCCGGCCTGCTCCTCGAGCACAGACAGCTCTTCACAGAGCGCGCGCCTCGGAGCACTAGCCGGTAAGTCACGTGAACGCCGGCGCCGGCGCCGCTCAACGTCACCATGGCGCGCCGCACTTGCGCATTGCGTCCCGCCGCCCGGCTCTGGCCGGCACTTCCGGCGCGGCACACCTCTACGGGTCGCCTACCGAGGCGAGTGAGTGCGGTCCTGGAGCCCAGCCCGCCTCCCAGCACCTGCTGCGGGCGCGGCTACACCATGGAGCGCCTTGATAAGGCGGCGCTAAATGCGCTGCAGCCACCCGACTTCAGGTAGTCCCGAGCGGGCCCCAGGCCGGGTAGGGGTCCTGACCGCAAGGCGACCTGGCCCTGGCCTGGAGTGGGGTGTAAAGGAAGGCCCGAACCGAGCGGGCTGGCCTGCAGCGGGCTGGCCTGCAGCGGGTGTGAGGTCTGGACCCTCGGGGCCGGGTTGCGGGATGGGGGAAGGGGGGAGGCAGGTTGGGGTCTGCATCGCCTACACGCACGGAAGCTGGGGCTTGGGGTCATAGGGTAGAGGTCGGCGGGCCTTCAGCTCATGCTTCTGTTCTAGCCCTTCCTTTCGCTGTCGTCTATTTTGCGATCTTGCTCTCTGCAATCTCTCCCCACTGCAGGGTGAGCTCCCTGAGGACAGGAACCCGGCCTTCTCCATCTACGTGTCCCCTACGGGGCCTGCATCGTCGGGGCTTAAATGTTTGTTGTATGAATGAACGAAGGGAAGAGAGTAGGGCTTCCCCTGGTTTGAGACTACTTCACTTGGGGGAATTAGTAGGATGAGGTTTGGTGGCTGAGTACAACGGCTGTTCTGGCCCACTGTGGCCCACTAGTCTAGCCAGTGATACCTGGGTAGGCAAAAGGGTGGGGAGGGATTTAGCTGCCATTTGATGGTGACCTACTGTGTGCCAGACTCAACTTGGGCTCTTTATTACATACCTTAGTAAAATTAAGAAAGTGTTGTTCCCCCTTTAAAAAAAAAAAAAAGAAGATGAAGTTACTCAGGATAAGTGACTTGCCCAAGAACACACAGTTAGGACACACAATTAGTGTTGAAGCTGGTATTTGACCAATCCCACTGATTCCAAAGCCTGTAATCTTTGGAGTCCTGTGATCCTTTTCTCTCTCTTATGATGTCAGTATAGATGTTTTTAAATTATTTTTTACTAGGATACCAACAGATAATTTTGTCAGGTACACTTAGAATACAGTGTAGCCCTCCTACACCTGATTCTCGTGTTTCATAATGGAATTTGCAGTGAAATCTACTTGCAGTGGAAGTCTTGATTGCCACAGAAGGGAAGTGGTAAGCTGTGTCTGCCTAGTGCTTGCTACAGAAGTTCATATCAAGTGGGTAAACTGTAGGTGGTTTAAAGAGTGGGAGAGCAGTAAGATTCATCCTAAGTTATTTCTTTGTTTGAGGCCCACTTTAATTCTGGATTTTTCACGTTCTTTATTTCTAACAAGTCTCTGTAACACCCAATGAGAGAGTCGTAGAAGAAATAGTTGAATGATACCAGTTACTTTGTTTTCAAATAATTCACCTGTTAACACCCAAGCTGGCTTGCGCCTGCAGAACTGCCAGCTGTGGTGGGGATGTGGCTGGAAGCCAAAGAGAAAATGTCCTGTAAACATTAGAGGAAGTTTGCTAGTTTTCGAAAGTCTGTGTGCTTAACTTGATACTTAGTCCCATATTTGTGAGGTCATAACCCAGAATAAAAAATTTTGGAGCTTAGGGTAAAAAAAGTGAAAAAGAGTTGAAAATAAACTGCAAATTGTTAAGCTGAGCCCATGCCTGGTATAAGAGTGTGGGGCTAGAAATTAACATGTAGAAAAGAAAAGACTAGGTTTAAGCGGTGGGATTGTAAATGCTTTTGTTTGCCTTAACACATTTGTGTATGGTATTACAGCATCTTTTCAATAATGATGTTTTCTGAAGGCCAGGTGAGATACTACATATTTAAGAGAGATGATCTGAAGAACAAAAGAACCAGTTAACACTCCCTTTCTCTAGATTCTCAAGCTTTGTTTCTTCATCAGGTTAGATCTTTTAACTTTGCATGCCTAAAACGCATACTTGAACTCACCATAGAAACACCCAGGTCATGTTTTTTGTTGGGATTCATGAAAGAAGTGGTCAAATACTTACGTTGAATTTTTATAGACCTACTGTAGAGCTACTCCTATTCTTCATGAGGATTACACAATAAATTTCCCTAAAAGTTTACTACTAGGAAACAGTTTAAGGGAGCATAACTATATTAGATGAGGATTGTGTAGCTCAGTGATCATCGTAGGAGGATGTGTTGAAAGATGATCCACTGAAGTAGGGAAAGAAAATATTACAACTTCTACATGAATTTATTTTAACTGTATCCTTTTTAGTATCTAGTTTTGCACATGTTTTATATTTTAAGTAATGAATTGATAATATGTGTGTAGATGATCTGTTCAAAAAAATCAGTATCCCCTTATATGGGCTTTGTGCTCAAAACTTATATTTAAGATGGATTAATAGTCAAAAAAGTTTGTAGACCATTGTTTATAAACCGTAAACTTGAGATGTTCCCTTCCTTTCTGGGCTTCCAGAAACCTCCTTGCTAATCATTTACACAGTTAAAAGAACCCCTTTGCCTGGATTTTCTAGGGCTCCAGAGAAATGTGCAGGACTAATACGAAGCAAGATGGCACATTAAGTCCTGTAATAACAGGTATGAGCTAAGTGTGATGGCATCCCAGAGCAATGAGTCATTTCAGGCAGAATGATCAGGAAAAGTGCCTAGAGGGGGACTTTGAAGGCTTGGTTATCTCCTTCCTAAAGATATGGACAGGGGTGCCTGGGTGGCTCAGTTGGTTAAGCGACTGCCTTCGGCTCAGGTCATTATCCTGGAGTCCCAGGATTGAGTCCCGGCATCGGGCTCCCTGCTCTGCAGGGAATCTGCTTCTCCCTCTGACCCTCCCCCCTCCCCGACTCTCTCAAATAATAAATAAATAAAATCTTAAAAAAAGAAAAGATACGAACAAAAACGGAACCTCTGAGGATTACCAGAAAGAGAATTAAGTTCAAGTATTGACAATAAACATAAAACATGAAGTGTGTTAAGGTAGTCTGATGATAGATTTAAGAGACAAAAAAGGACCTTAAGCTAAATGATTAAAGCTGTAGGGTTTACTGCGTTTACAATGTACATGGTGGTATGTATGAGGTACGGATGTGTCCAGGGTTGCTGGAAACCTACTGTCTCTTCACTTTGCAGTAGTGCTGCCCATTTGCAGCAATGTATAGGACAAATCCTGACATATCTACTTATTGAAAAGTCAGTGAAACAACATTAAGGAACATTTTGAAAATGGGGAAATAACTTTATTTTTGTATATTAATCTGTAGTCCTTTTTTATTTGCACACATTTTTAACATAATTGGCATAGTATATGTCAGGGGTTGGTGAAGTTCTTCTGTAAAGGACCAGATAGCAAATATTTTAAGTTTTGAGGGCTGTATAATTCGGTACCACTACTCAGCTTGTCCTTTGTAGCTCCAAAGCCACCTTAGATGATACATAAACAAATGGGTGTGTCTGTGTTCCAGTTAAACTTTATTTATAGAAATAGGCATTGGGCCCTTAGGCATTATTTTGCAGATCCCTGATACACATAATATGATGTAGTTTGCCTTGTTCATTTGTCACACAAGGACTTTCTGAGTAATGGTCAGAATTTTTTTTGTTGGATCCATATATTGATACACATCAGTTGTGAAATCATTTTCTTATTATGGACGTTTATTGTTGTATCCAGTTTCGTTTGTGCTTTTATGTTAATCTTTTTTATGTTAGTCTTTGTATTAATGTTTTAAGTAGCAGATTATCAGACTTGTTTTTCTTCAAGTATAAATTTGAAAAGCTTGATTCCGTTCTTCAGAATGGTTTTCTTGTATTCTGGATCAGAACTTTCTCCATTGGAATATTTCCTTGATTTTAAATAACCTCCGGACAAATAGAATTCACTGAATAGAAGGTGTTTTGACATTAATTTTTTAAAATATTTTATTTATTTATTTGACAGACAGAGATCACAAGTAGGCGGAGAGGCAGGCAGAGAGGGCGGGAAGCAGGCTCCCCGCTGAGCAGAGAGTCCGATGTGGGGCTCAATCCCACGACCCTGAGATCATGACCTGAGCTGAAGGCAGAGGCTTTACCCACTGAGCACCCAGGCGCCCCTTGACATTAAATTTTTAATGAGTCCATGTTGCATGAAGACTTATCTAAGTTGTACTATAGCTATTTAATTACAAAGAAATTAAGTTTCCTTCAGCTGCATCTAAATTGTTCTAGACTGCTTTTTCTCTGGAGATCTCTCATGCCTTGTTTGTACTATATCCAGCTGGCCCTTGATGGTGTGCTTTGTGAAGGAACGTCATTAGTTGTTTTCTCTCTTCTTTACTGTCTCCATTATATATTCTGTAATTAGGGTGTGCTTGCAGAGCACTTTGGACACTACAAACCACTTTCATAGTTTGATGCTTCCTCTCACACTGGATCTGAATGGCAGTCTCTTGGGTGTTCTCTAGGTCTTTAGGATCTTCTCATTTTGAGTTCCTGACTCTTCTCTGTCCAGTGCTTCCAGGGCAGGGGCAGGGTTTTCCAGCATCTTTTCTGTGGACACAAAACCAGTTGGAAATGGCTGTGCAGGTTCTGATTTTCTCTTTATTTACTTTCTTCCAGAAATGAAAGTTCATTAGCATCTACCCTGAAGACGCTCCTGTTCTTCACAGCTTTAATGATCACAGTACCTATTGGGTTATATTTCACGACTAAATCTTATGTTTTTGAAGGTAATCCTAAATGATAAAACAAGACATTTCCCCCTTAGTATTTTTAAGATTCTGTGTGTTTATGATCTCTTTATATCTGTAAGCTGGGTATTCTTAATTTGCTTCTTCCATCTGTTTCTGTTTTGCTTTTCAAAAATCATGTTGTTCAAGTGAGTCTTCCTTCATGAAATTAACTTGTTCATCATTAAGTCATTTTAGTGTGACAGTGTATTTGTTGATGGTTCTGTGAAATGGCTTGCAAGTCCTTTCTCTTACTATACCTCTGACAGCAAGACTTGGCTGACATGGGAGGAGGAGTTTGGGGCAATGTACCTTTGGTAGCAGACATTAGTAGAAAAAGAAAATTATGTCCCCCTTTGTATGTTGAAGTCTGTAAGTGAAGTGATCATTACAGTTTTCACTCAGAATAATGTTCCTTGTGTATAGGAGGTATTCAGATCTTTAAATGAATACTTGATTTATCACCATCCAAAGTATTCCTTTTTAATTGCCTGACTGGTTAAATAAATATATAGCTAATAAAAAGCAGTATGCTTTGTTTTTTACACTTTGATAAATTTGGGAATAAAATGGAAACTTTTTTTCTCTTGATAGGCGCCTTTGGAATGTCCAATAGGGACAGCTATTTTTATGCTGCTATTGTTGCGGTGGTCGCCGTCCACGTGGTGTTGGCCCTCTTTGTTTATGTGGCCTGGAATGAAGGCTCACGACAGTGGCGTGAAGGCAAACAGGATTAAATTGAACATCACCTTTTGATAGCATTAAATTGATTTTTAAAAATGGTAAATGTATCTGGGGTATTAATGATTTCAATAAAGCTGAGAACATATTAAAATCAATCTGAAGGAGTCACATTTGACCTGTGTAAAATTTGATCCTTCTAATGCAATGATTTGTATCATCAGTTTTAACTGTACGAGCCTCTCATTTGCAAATGAGAATTTGTAACGTTAAGTTGGTCACAAATAAGTATGTTAACTTAATTATACATTTGGGAAGAATTTGATTATCTCACAACCAAAAATGTTTTACAGCATTTTGTCTTTTGGTTGGTTTTAAGGTTCACTTCTCTGGATTTGTTAAGATATACACAGTGAAGGAAATCTGAGCTGGGTTTCACTGGAGCGCTTTCCCTTACTATTACTAAAGTCCTGGGTCATTGGATTCTAGGTTGTAAATTCCTGTGCGAAATTGCTTGAATTGTGGATTTTGGACTTCATCTGAATGTCACTGAAAATTTTGCATCGAGCGTAATTCCTAGTCAATAGGAATCTTTCTCATTACATTATTTCATGGGAAGACTAGGCCGGATCACACCCACACCCTTTTGTGGGAAAGGACTGGTTCATTGGAGGATCTACGCAGCAAAGCAAAAAGATAGCTACCTGGGCACTTAGCCTTTGCAGGCTACCCTATGCTTTTAGGCTAACTTTTTAATGATCTGCTTTGCTCTGGCATTGAATAGTGAAGTAATGCTTTCATTACAGGGTTTGTGTAAAGTCCCTTTCAGTTTGTTTTTCCTACTTTTCAGTAGTGTATATGGTAGGATTAACATTTAGGTGTGCCCATTTTCACATACTTCCTGAAAGTAGATTATTTTTATCATCCAGGAAGTATTCCTGGGATGGCTAGTCGAGTCTTTTTTAATCAAAGCTGTTGTACTCCAGATGTATATAGTTATGTAATCCTGAGGTCCTATCTGACAGGAAAAGACCCTGTCGTTTTACTTCGGTACCCTTAGTCTGTTCTTTCCAGCTACTTGGTACTACTTGTGTGCAGTCTAAAAACACACCTGGAAAAATGTGTATTGAAACAGGAAGAGAATTTAAATGCCGTGTGATGTTTCCACCTGGAGATAAACATTATTTTGGTTTATATTCCATGTGCATTTCCTAATGCTAGTTCGGTACACTGAACATTTGGTTTAAGTTCAAATTCTGCCTGTGTTGCCTCATAGCTATTTACATTATTTTTCTGGATGAATGATTATTGGCCATTTTCTTGAAAAAGCACATTCTACCCTTACTCCTTTTTACTAGTCCAATTTCCTGTTACTGGCAATTCCTCATACAGTGGCCCTTGCTGTTTTTGCCATTACTCATTTTTCTGTTCACCCCTATTTTCGTTGTGCAGCTGGACTAAAGGAATAGTGAGGTGGTTAGGCATAAAAGTAAGTAGGCATTTGTGTTTAATTGTTGAGGAAAAGTGAAAGATGACTATTGTAGGACTCTTATTTTTGCTTATAGTTAAATATTGTCTGCAGTTAAAATATCTTTAAGCCATTATTTTAATTGTAAAGTGTTTTCTTAAAGATTACAGTTTTAGTATAAAATTGTACAAATTTAATATAAAGTTGTAGAATACCCTGGTTTAAGTTTGGGGTACTGTGTGGTAGATTTCTAAATAGTTGTCCCTTTAGAAGCCTTGTTACACGTAGAATTGTTGTCCACCTAATTTCTTTTCTATAATGCCAAGGTTTTGTACTTTTGAGGTCTCATGCTGTTTGTAAAATAAGAATGTCCAATGTTAGATTATTCTGATTTCAGATGTTTGCTGAGTAGAAAATGATATGGGTATTTTTCTGCAAGTATTTAAACCAGAGATTCATGCAAAAGCAGTTGTAATTTACTCTTGGAAAAAGTACCAAGTGTTTGAAAGTTAGAATTGGATGCTAGAGTTGATATTTAAGATTGTTAAAGTATAGGCTTGTTTTCAAACCAGTTAATTTTTTCCCGGAGTTCTGTTAATTCACTACTTCGCTGCTGTTGAAATGACATATGGTGTTTGACATACCGATTTATTTTTCAAGATGTCCCACTGATTTCCTCTTGCACAATGTACGTACTTCAGGATGTATAGAAAGGAAAGCTACAACTGAGCCCTCGTATGTGTTTTAAGATAGGACTGTGTTCCCTGTTGTTTGAAAAGGGATTGTAAGAATAACCTCAATTAGGAAGCATAACTTGAAGTGTCAGCACGAGCTACTGATAAACACATTGCCTTCCTCATCTCACCTCTCATTTTGCGCCCACCTGCCAGAATATAATCTTTTCTTTCCTGTTGTGCTAGAAAATGAAGTGTGTTGTAGAATGCATCTGATGTTATTAGCTCTTCAAGTGGATAGACACTGTTTTACGTATTAACAGCAGAATTCAGTTTTGAGCTGTTACCGAAGGAACTTAAACATCTTTTTAAAAACCTCCTATTTCATGGAAATCTAACATATACATTGTAATAACTAGGCTATTTTCATCATAAAAATCTCATTACCTTTTCCAAAAGAGCCAGCTGATTGACATGTTTGATATTTATCTGCCATTTTCATATAAATTTTATATGTACAGCTAAGAGTACCCAAGGAGACCAGTAAAAACAGTTAAATAAGGTGTGTGCAAGGAAAAGATGGTAGCCAAAGGTACATGAAACAACTATCGAGTGTGTATTTCTCATCTCTAGACAAGTTCGTGTTTATTGTTTTATTTATGATCAAGTGAAGTCGTAGACCATTGTTGGCCCACTTTATAAATGGGTTCAGCAGTGGCACAGAATTCGTCACTTGTCTGAGGTCAGCAGCAGATTTTTTCGGCTGTCAAGCAATGTGTGTCCTCCAGCAGAAGAGTACAACTGTATTGGTTCAGACTCTACTCTTACATTGAAGATGAGTTTTGTGAGAGCTGGCTGAAGCAACACATTGATAACTTGACGAGATTTCTTTCTTCATTTGGCAGAAAGGAAAAGGGTCACCTGAGAAGCTACATTATTTTCAGGGACTTTGGGAATCTAACAATAGCTATTACATGTAATTTATGAATAGTCAAATCCTTTATATATTCATTAAAATAGTCTGAAATTCCCCAATTTACCCTCACTCCTGGCCACACTTTCCTTTTCTGTTTCATTGCTTCATGTTCTTGAGAATGGATTCTGCATTCCTTTTAAGGTATTCTGTCATATTTGTCAGTTACACATGCTAGTCTTCCTTTTTCTCAAGTTCAGTGAACTCTCACTGGACAATAATAGCAATAGCTAACAACATCTGCACAGCACCTTACAGTTTGCAAAGAACATTCACATATTTTTTGAGTTTTGCATAGTGAACCTGCTATGAGATGTCTCTTGACATCCTTGCCGAAGATGTTAGAATCTTTAACTCAGTAGAGTCGTTGAGTATGCTGTAGTCTTTGAATAGTGCCCTGACTAGGGATGGGGATTAGATGCGCTATTTTGAAAGCTGTGTGTAATTATTGAAATGGGGGGCTTGAGTTCTTTAGCCACTTGAATCAGATTTACTTTTGTAAGTGATACTTTTCTAACTGTTACCTGGATGGATTTTGTATCCATTATATTCCAGCCTGTAATTTGTATAAATTTACCGTCTGTTGTCATTAAAAAAGTGTTCTAAATGCGACTTTGATGTGTCCTGATTGAATGAATAGTAAGTTTGTTAACATCTCTGTTTTTTAACACTTATTTGCTTCTGTTTATACCATATAAAATCTATAGAGTTGTCAAGGGTAAGCTTTTATGCAATACTTGTAGACCAGAGGTGCTCAAACTGGTGGGGGTCTCTGGGGTACCAAGACAGGAAGGGCTGGTTATACCCCCTCTGTGGTGGCCCCATCAGAAGTGGTGTGGCAGTGGGGAAAGAAAGCAGCATCTTGCCCTGTGGCTTTTTAAAGAAAATTCATTTGGGAGTGAATGTGCTTTAGATACTGCTAAAGGAGTAATATTTGTGGCTAAGTAATTAAGTAAGGGGGTAGTCAATTCCTTGCCCTGTCTAGCATGCTACCCCCTTCCTTGTGCCAGTTGCCTTTGTCTGTGGCCCTCTAACTACCTTTTCATGGTGCTCCAGCTAATGTCTGTGCTTCTAAGGGCTCTAGCTAGTTCTTAATAAATACTGTCCTCCTCTAAAAAAGATTTGAGACATCTCAGTGTCAAAACATAAAGATGATATGCGATCATATATATATACAAAAGTACAGATTATGAAATGTCCGGGGAACTCAGGACACATAGAGTGGCATTGCAGAGACCACTGGAATCACCTTACAGGATTTACTGCCCAGACCTACCGAGTCAGAACCTCTGGGGGTGGGGCCTGGAATGGAAATAGTTGTCGGTAACAGGCCCTATCTGATGAAGCCAGTTTGAGAACTGCTGCTAGAGATTGGGAATTGTTAATGTTTGTTTTTAATGCTGGACTTGAAGATGTTTGTATAAAGCTGGCCTGAAATAGATACTTTAATAAGCAAAGGTAGAGTTCTGCATAATGCTATATATTGAAGGCTCCGCTTAAAATCAGGAGAGCTGGGACGCCTGGGTGGCTCAGTGGGTTAAGCTTCTGCCTTCAGCTCAGGTCATGATCCCAGGGTCCTGGGATCCAGCCCCATATCAGGCTCCTGCTCAGCAGGGAGCCTGCTTCTCCCTCTCTCTCTGCCTGCCTCTCTGCCTACTTCTGCCTACTTGTGATCTCTCTCTCTGTGTATGTCAAATAAGTAAATAAATAATCTTAAAAAAATAAATCAGGAGAGCTTTCTTGGGTACCTGACCATCATGTTGACTTTGCTTCACTGTTTAGGAATTCTATGAAAACTGGTGCAGGGGACAGCCCTCTTAGAAACAGCTTCAGCCTATTAGGAAATGGCCACTGCTGCTCCTCTGATGCCTTCCTCTTATTTGGAATTCTTAAACTATTGTCTTTGAAGAGAGGGGAAAACCTAGCACAGGCATTTAAGAGACTCTGGTTTCAAAAGTAAAAGAGCTAATGGAGAAGACTGGAAATGGTTTCCTAGGCATATCTGCTCTATGAATAGTATAGTATAGTATAGTATACTATACTATACTATACTATACTATATTATACTATAATAGTATAACCCCTGCCACCACATACTCTTCCTGTCACTGCTTGCATCTTCCACTTCACTTCCTGTACAGCCTGCTGTTCTGCCTATGCTCACTCCCACGCCACAGCTTTCTACTGGCTGTTCCCTCTGCCCAGGACCCTCTCCCTCAGATCCTCCCAGGGCTGGCTCTTTCTCACCCTTTAGGTCTCAGCTCTCATGTTGCCTCTCCAGAAAGGCCTCCTCCGTCCCTCTCACAACACAGTATTGGATGAAATTGCCCTGTTTGTTGGCCTGCCTCCACTATGCTGTATGCTTCAGTATGTCCCCTAAATCCCCGGTGCCTCACACTTAGTTTAGTAAGGATGTTCTTGGCCAACTGGAAGTAACAGAAACCACAGTTCAAACTGGCTTAAACAATGGAAGAGGTCAGAGGTGGGGCCAGTCTATTCGCATGGTTTAGAGTTCCTGTTCCATTTCTCTGTGATTCTCTCTGCATCTCCTCCTCAGTGTGTTGGTGACAGCCTCAGGCTTCCCTGTCTCGTGATAACAGAACAGCCACAGCCATTCCGAGGCTTCATTTGTCCACCACAGATAGTCACCCGGCCACTCAACAACTTCCCTGGGCTTTACATACCCACCTGTGAAACAATCAGTTTGGCCGGGCAATGCCAAGCGTCGGCGGGTTCATGTCAGACGAGTGACCAGTCCTAAGCCATCACTTGGTTAACTTGGACCGCTCGGTGAGCACCCCTGAGGAAGTTTGATGCTGGTGAGGGTCCCAGCGTGTTTGCTGTGGGCCTCAACAGATTCGTGACGTGAAAATGGCAGTACACAGTGTAGGCACACACGCGAAGCTATAGCCATAGGTGTAGATAGGGATATAGACGGATATGGATGCAGGGATGGGAGTCATGCACTTTGGAGCATGGAACCATTGTCATTGTCAGGAAATGGCAGGACCTGGTGTGGGGCCATCCTCCAGAGGACCTTACAGCTGCATCAGGGCTGGGCACCTAGCAAGTGGCAAAATATCAGCACAGTCCCTCTGTATCAAATTTTGTGAGTTCTGCCTTAGGAAGAAAACTGAAATAGTTGGAGAGTCCTCAAAATCTTTCTGCCATCTGTCTCTGTGGCTTTCTGTTTCCAGGACTCTGCACTGTGCTCTGAAGCCCTAAAACATCCCTTCTCTCAACCCCTCCCCATCTTACCCCTCCCCACCACCACATCTGGGGTTCTTTAAAAACACAGGTAGCCAGGGGCGGTTGCTTTGTGCCTGCATCCAAGCGAAGCAGCAGTGCGGCTGGATGTGTTCTTTGTGAGTATGGCACCTGGGGGTTTCCTGTTTAACCAGGTTTCACAGAACGTAGCAAATGCAGTCATTCACCTAGGATCCTGCTTCACACATGTCCCAGTGATGGTAGCGAGAGGCAGCCTAGCACCTGGGTCTGGGACCACTGGCCAGTGCTCTGCTGTGTAATTCTGCAGTTATCATCAGCTATGTCATCAAGTTTACCCCTGGCCTGTTAATGTGCGCAAAGACAACAAAAGCAGAATAGAAATAATCTGATTTTTCTCAGCTATATGTAACTATGGAAATACTTGTTTTAAAGGAAAGTGTATATTGCATAGCCTGATATTACTGCTTTAAAAATATTCACAATAGAAAATGAACATGTTTGGGGGCTGTGAAAAATGAAGTCTGCTCACACTTCTGCATTCCATTTCTTTCCTAAAAATTGGATGTAGAACACACCAAAGGCACCATGCCTCCCCCTCACCCCCCAGTATTTCTTTTCTCTTTTTTTTTCTTCTGTGTTTTTGTTTGTTTGTTTGTTTTGTTTTGATAGTGGCATGGAGCCTATTGTGGGGCTTAAACTCACAGCCCTGAGATCAAGACCTGAGCTGAGATCAAGAGACACTTAACTGACTGAGCCACCAAGGTGCCCCTCCCCTAGTATTTCTACTGCTTCTACTTAAATATGCAGTGCTCTGCCTCCACTCTTTGCTCAGTCCTCCCTCCTGACCCATCTTGGACCAACTAGAATTGGGACTGGAAGTTGAATGGGAAATGAATAGAAAGCTCAGTAAAATGGAATAAGCAAGAGAAGTTAAACCATTTTTTCCAACTGACTTGGCAGAGGCTCTGGTGAGAATTGCCGTGTGTGGTAGGTAGGATTCTAAGGTGCCCCCGAGAATGCCACTGCCTCGTGTACATGGCTTATATATTGTCCACCTCTTGACTATGGATGGAACCTGTGAATGTGATGGGGTAGTAACTCTCTGGGTTAGATTAGTGCGTGAATTTGCTCAGGCCACCATAACCAAGTACCACAGGCAGTGTGGCTTAAACAACAGAAACATATTGTCGCGCAGTTCTTCTGGAGGCCAGAAGTCCAAGATCCAGGTGTTGGCAGAACTGAAGAACCTTGGCTTATAGATGGCCATCTTCTCCCTGTGTCTTCACATGCTTTTCCCTCTGTATGCCCATGGCCTAATCTTTTCTTATGAGGACATGAGTCGTAATGGACTAGAGTTCACCCTGATAACCTCATTTTAACTAATTGCCTCTTTAAAGACTGGATCTCCAAATACCTTCACGTTCTGAAATATCGGGGGTTAGGACTTCAACATAGGGATTGAATTCAGCCCTGTAATATTTCATTATATAATCTCCTAGGCAGAATAATGACTCTCCACATATGGTCACATCTTAATCCTGAGAAATTGTGAAAAAAGAAGTAAAGGTGCAGGTAGACAGAAGTTTGCTATTTAGCCAACTTTAGGAGGAGAATATCCTGGATTATCTGGATGGGCTCAATATTATCACAGGGATTTTGTGGTAGACTAAAAAAATAGCATTCCAAAGATGTACTCACCGATTCCTACATCCTGTGAATATTACTTTGTATGTCAAGAGTGAATATCACTTTACGTGGAGAAAGATGTGATTAAATTAAGGATCTTGAAAGGAGGAGTTTACCTAGATTATTTTGGTAGGTGATCTTTGATAATCCTTCATAACCTTAATGCAGTCACATGTATCCTTACAAGATAGAGGCAGGGGGAGTCTGAAACAGGCCCATGCAGAGGAGAAGACCATGTGAAGACAGAGGCAGAGACCGCAGTGATGTGACCACAAGCTAAGGAGGCCTGGGGCCCACAGAAACTGGAAGAGATGGGAGGATCCTCCCCTAGAGCCTCCAGAGGGAGTGTGGCTGTGCCCACGCCTTGATTTTGGACTTCTGACTTCCACCTGGAACCCCATGATTGCAGTTTCTTGGGTAAGTCACCAGCTTCTCAAAACACCAAGAGCCCAATGGTGACCAAGAGAGTTGCAGGGGGACCTTCACAATTTGGTTCTCACCTGGCCGGACTCCCACCCCTAATTTCCACCTGGGTGAGCGCTAGAGATCTAAGAATTTCCATGCAGGTAAGCATCGTATCAGCCAATTGTGCTGACACTGTATGCCCAGAGCACTGCCTTGTGCCTACCACAGAATAGGTATACAGTGGATGTGTTGAGTGAATGAATGTCATTCCATATTGTGTCCTTTTTTAGAAT